ATGTAGAATAGCATATGTAGGCAAGTATATATTCTCCCTTTTTATCAAGAAGCAAAGACAAAAAGGTGGTTCGGTGGTTGAATCATCCGTCCCCACCAATGCCAAAACCAAATCTACGCCCTTGCAAACAGCATTGTTCTTTGATTGAGGAAAAGTGCGACTCTGTATCTAATTGCGGCAGAGAAACATTTAGGGACTAAACCAGGTAAGTGGAGCACTCCAAACTGTAAAAGGGTAGGACTGTAAATACTAAAGTGAAGTAAACTTAACCTAAAACGTGTTTTTGGGGTAAAAACCTTTTATTTTGATGGAGCATGTCGGAAGTAAAGTTGATTGCGTGTTGTAATGTTATTTTGAAAGGTTTCCCGGAAGTGACAGCAGTCCTTTTAGCGGACTTGATTATGCGCTCGGTTAGCAGATGGATCCAGAAAGTCCTCCGCAGTCTGGTTCTGTGGACAGAGCGGAGCTGGACCGACACTGTCAGCCACCGGAAGACGACTTAAAGACGGATCAGAAGCCGAGAAAAGAAGGTGAGTTTATTTCCTGCTGCTGAACAGACTCGCTGATGCCAATAAGCTAACGTCCTAGCTCCTCTCTGATGGTATGTCACCTCCACTTAGCTCCTCCCACCAGTGCGCAGAGCAAGTGAGGAGACAGGAGAAAAGCTGATCGCCAAAAACAAAACCCCTGAATAAATACGACGAGTTGTTTGTAAAAATAAATAAATGATCAACATGCATTAAATAAAAAAGACAGAATACAAACAGGGACTCGGTATTTGTGAAGATTTTTTTCTCGGAGGTAAAAGGTCATGCAAACAGGTCCCCACAAACATCTAAAACATGTTAACAAATAAAAACATAAAAAAAAAAAACATAATAAAACATCAAATAAAGCACCTGTAATAAATTTAGTGAGTAATAACCAAGTGAAACACTGAATCCTGACAACATCGCCTGTCCATTGCCAGTAGCAACTAGTCCATGTGGGCAAAGGTGAAGGGTGTGTACTCCTTAGTGTCCTCTCCTCTGGGGTCTCCTGCTGTGGATTAATTTCTTTCATAAAGTGTTTCATTGCAGTTTGATTTTGGAAGCTTTTCTCTGACGCAAAGTAACTTGAGCTGTGTAGCTGGAATCTTCCATAAAGTGTGGCTCATGTTTCTTAACCTAACAGCGTGGGTCTGCAGCATGTAGTTTACCTCAGTCTTAATTTTGTCACTTTTAGAAATGGCAGATCACATCAGTTTCTTTTGATAATGGGGTTCTCTGCAGAATTAAATCTTCTGCTTATCTTTGAACCTTCTCCAGATATTCCAGCTGTTGTTTTTCATAAACAGCTTAAGGGAGCAAAAAACCAACCAGCTACTCTATTTTAAAACAAAAGTGTTTTGTATGTTTATGTAACCTAAGGGCAAGAAAGCCATAGAAAGTCATATTAATGTGCATATCAGTCATAATAATGGTCATGGTCATGTAAAGAAATGTTCATTATCCACACAAAAGAAACTGTCAGTGTGTGAAAATATTACTGGTTTCAGGAAAAAATGAGCTCGGTATTAAAGTTTGTGTTTCAGGTTTACCTCCAGGTGTCCGAAAAGTGATCGTTGGTGAAAAAGAGGAGCAGGAGTGGAGCTCCAGTGTGGACCGGGAGGACCCAGACGTTAAAGGTGAACAGGAGGAGGTCGTCATCACCCAGCTCACTTCCAGCCCTGCCCTTGTGAAGAGTGAGGAGAAACCTAAATACTTACAGCTTCATCAAAGCCAGACTGAGGAGGTCAGTGACTCTGTGGGAGGACCAGAGCCTGATCCAGATCTACAGCCTGACAGGAAAACTTCAGGCTCTTCAGACACAGACATCAGTGATTCTGATGAGTGTGAGCAGAGCCGTGAACCTGCAGCGCCTCGGGCATCAGGTGATGCTGATGAGAAACCATTCAGCTGCTCTGTCTGTGGGAGAAACTTTGGTCACAGCAGAAATCTGAGCAGACACCTGAGAACCCACACAGGAGAGAAACCTGTCAGCTGCTCTCAGTGTGGAAAAAAATTTGTGGACAGTGGAAACCTGCAGAGACACATGGGGATTCACACGGAAAAGAAACCGTTCAGCTGCTCTGAGTGTGGACAAAGCTTTAAAGACAAGACAACGCTAATAAACCACCGGAGGACTCACACGGGGGAGAAACCATTCAGCTGCAAGTTCTGCAGTAAAACGTTCACACACAGCGGGAATCTGAAACAACACCTGTGCATCCACACGGGAGAAAAACCCTACAGCTGCTCCAGGTGCAGCAAAACATTCGGCCGCAACGCCGACCTCAATTCTCACATGTTGATCCACACGGGACAAAAAGCTTTTAGCTGCTCCGAGTGTGGGAGAAGATTTACTCACAGCCGGAGTCTCAAACAGCATCTGAAGAGTCACGCTGAAGAGAAAACCTTCAGCTCCTCGCTGTGTGGGGAAAGATTTTATAATGTCACACATGTGAAAAAGCACATGACGACTCACGTGAGAAAGTCATTTATCACAGGAAAGAACATCAGCTGCTCCACAGACTGATGAAGCTCCGAATCAACCAGGAGCTAAACAGGGTGTAGGTTTGGTCTCATTTTAACACAGACACAAAACCGTCCACCAGCTACACCACTACCTCGTATGACTGACTCGTTGCATCCATGTACCTGAGACACTTTATCTAGGGTCCGGCTCCCTCACTTTTCTCCTAAAGATGAAACTAAATTGTTATATTTTTTCACATCCTGAGATATAATTTTTCCTCACAGTGATGGTGAGGACAAAACTCCATCTGAAACAGAAGTTCTCTGCGACATGTTCATGTTTTAAATCAATTTTCCCCACATGGTGAGAAACCAGCTGAGGAAAAACTTTATTATTGGCGTCTCTGTACAAGTGAAGCTCGAGACTCTAGTGATCATAGTTAGCAGAATGCTAAGCTATTAGCCACATACAGCAAAGATAGTTTGTTGATAGGTGTTATGGTCGCTGACCGGGGGTCTCCCCATGTGAGAGAGCTCTTTCTCCTCCTTCTGTGTTCCAGGTCTGTCTCACAAGCTGCAGCTGAGATGCGGTGCAGCTCGTGAGCACTGCATCAAGACTGCCGCCTCAAAATGCCACGCCCCCTTTTCCTTTGCTTTTCTCTGGGATGTGCTACAGTAGTTCGGGCAAAAAAGGTGTGCCTTTACAGAGATAATTGTGAACCACAGTGGATTTTAGGCCTCATTGGGTCGTTTGGTTGTGAAATAGTTTTTTTACTGACGTTAACTTTGTGACAGTTAATAGTTTTCTTTTCACTTTGTGTCACACCCCACCCCAGATACAACCTTGCTTTTAAGTAGGGTGTAACAATAGGCATCATGGGAAAAGGAAGCAGCTCACCTGTCCAGGAGAAGACGTTTGTCTCTCGATCTTTCTTTTCATGTTTTTTCTGCTGCTTTATGTTAATAATTTAATAATAATTTAATAATTTGTTTCTTACATTGAATATTACACCACTCCTCTGAAACATTATACAGAACAATTATTTGCACTGCGTTCATAATTAAATGAAGCTGTTAAAGACTAAATGGAAGATTCTGATTTTTGTAAATTATTCAAGGGGCAAACAACATGAAGCAACATCTGTGGGTTTGAGCTAACGCCATGACATAAACCAGCTGATAAAGTACCTGAAAGAAAGACATACAAACCAATCTGCAGCTTTTAAAAAACTGACATTAAAATATTTTAATTCTACAAGTAAAAATCAGAAGCAGTCTTTTATGACAAAAGTATTTATTTTAATATCAAAAATGAAAAAAAAAAGGAACAAATTCACAGTGAATGACGAAACGTTCCTCTGCATAAATGAGGCCTAATAGATCGCAGCAAAGGTAACATTCCAGGTCATTTTATTAACTCTGAAAAGAGCTTTTACCCCAAAATATCATCGTTTCACCTGTGAGGCAATCTGCTACTACAAAAAAAGAAAAAAAAGAAAAGAAAGAAAAACAATTGAACTCCAAGCCTGCATAAAGCAAACAAAAAAACAACCCAACAAAGGTTTTTAAAAAGTATTTCTCAATTTTTCGCAATGCCCAGTGCACCGACACGAGAACAAAAACACAAAACAAACCTTGAATAAAGTACAGAATGTATTTATAATTAAAGGTGTTCAGGATCTCTAAAGGGACCCAAACGCAGAGTCACCAGACCTGCAGTGATCTTTGTGTTCATGTTTAGTTTTGGCTGAGGTGAGCTTTAGCAGCAGGAAGAAAGAACGTGGTTATCACGCAGAGGCGCTCAGACTGTTATTACTGTATAGTAACAGTAAAGCCAGCGTGGAAGCACCTTGTAATCTTTCTAACGGCCAGCAGGGAGCGATTACTTGCAAAGATGTCAGTCTATAGAAATCTGCATCGACCTATGAGCTGTTAAGACTTTATGGTTTATGGCCTCAGTCGCTGCTTTTGGGTCTTCTTGAATTTGACGTTTATTTAGTAAATTATGATCCTCGTTAGAAAAACAAGGACAAACAAATGCACCCGGTGAAAATCAGGCCTACTTCATGATTGACAGGTCACTACCTAAAGGGGTTCAGCGTGACCTCGCCAAAACATTCAGCTCGACATATCAGGACTTAAGGAACAAATGGATGATGTCGACTACATCCATCTTTTACGCACACTTTTGGGCAGAGGTAGAGTTCGTCTGTCTTGGGATGAAATTTGACCGCTTTAAGGAGAAGACTGCTGTTATTTATATTTCAGTGTCAACAGACCCCTCGACAAGCGGTACGTGTCATAACTTCCTGCGCTTTACTGCTGGTTATGATTAAAGACGGCTGGAAATGAGGCTCATAAATATGCAGTTATTTCTTAAAACAGCTGGGCATGTAGTTTTCAGCATACGCTACTCCAAAAGGAGGAGTGGATTTGTTTAGTACTACTTTTCAGACGAGGATTAAAAAATTCTGTGAGTGTAGCATTAATTTAAAATCCTCAAAAGGTTGAAAATTGTGGCTCACTGGTGTGTTTTAGTTTTTAAATCAACAAAAGTCCCACAAATGACTCAAAAGTGATTTGGTTAGTTCAGATTAATGCTTTTGTCTCCTGTGAGTGATGCAGCACAACAACATGTTTAAGCAGGAAGACTTTGTTGCTGTTTTTTGGGGGATTGTTTTTTTTGTGGGGTTTGCGAAGAGAACTTTCAGCGTTTCCGTTCCTGTAGCTGTTCCTGCAGCCTCACCAGCACCTGCCTCAGTAGGTAAATTACTTTATTTTAAACATTTTAACTGAATTCATTTTGAATCGAAATTGAGAGAGGAAACATCTAAACAGTGTAAATGTTTTCCTGTTGTCGTTGCTGCAACTGAAACCACGGCTCGCTCAGATCATAAATAGCAGCAAATAAAACAACATCAATAGAAAGACTTTAATAGAGAACATCACCTCACCGCCTGCTCTGTTAAGAAAGAACAGATTTGAAATATAAAAATGTAAACAAACTGGAAGTTTGCCAGAGCAGCCATGTCCAGTGAAATTCAACATCTGGGCCTCACGTCTGACTGCTCAGTTCAATTTTAATCAGGCACTGATTGTTACCTAAAAACACACCAACCACAAATCAGCGTTCAGGTCGAGTAAAAAGAATCCCAGTGAAGTATTTTCAGCTTCAGAGCAGTAAAAAAACAGAATGTATTTCACCATTTTTAGCGACACAATGAGTGGCGGTTAGTTTCCGTACCCAAAGTGCAAGAAGCAGCCGAGGTCAGCGTCAGCTCGAGTTTCCCTGCTCGGATCAAATGAAAACTTTATTCTGTAGTGCACAGCAGGGGCATCCCAGAACCTGCTGCTTCAGCTGGCGTTTATACACATTGAATCACAAACATTTCATTCCAGTTCTTTACAAAAACAGTCGTGTTGGCTTTTATTTGCTTCAAACCTCAGCCTTCCTCTGCTGTAAATGGCTCTCTGACTCTAGTCAAAGTTCTGAGGTTAAAGGTTAATCTGAGTCTGACAGGACGATGATCTCGTCTGGGTCACACTGTGTCGCCACGTTGACCTGTAATCACACAGACAGCAGCATAAAGTATTTACTCTTCTGGAGAAACACTCGGAGTATCAGCAGAATAAAAACATCTTTAAAAACATGTTGATACCGGTGTGCCCACATCACATGACCAATTTAAGGTGACGTGGCAACAAGACGCACCCTCGCTGAGCCTCAGTTGTTAACTTGTGTTAAAAGTGAAGACTTCAACTACGTTCCAGTTTTTAGTGTTGAGAGGCCAAATAACACCAGAGTTATGATAATTCACGCCGTGCTTTTCAACGCCCTTTACTATTCATGGAAAAATTCACCTTGTCAGCCTATCACAAAATTATATGGCAACACACCATTTGGTTGCTTAGTAACAGACGAAAGTTTTGAGAAAATTGCTGCGAGAACAGCAATTTTTGAGATTTGTGGCATTAAGCTCGTTTGGAGTGAAGTGGGGGGTTTTCTGCGTGTCTGTCAAAACAACGACGCAGCTACAGCTGGACAAAAAAACACCAAAGGCAGCCTTCAATGTAAACACCGTCTCCAGGTGGACAACAGGAGGAGTGATACACATCCTGTTGTCAGGCCTGTGATTTGCCCCTCTGTCTTGTGGGCAACAGGAACTAGTTTTCAGAGTGGCACAAATAATTTGTGTGAACAGATACACACTTCTGAGTGTAAGTAGTTGGATAAACATGTTTAAAAAATTTTTAAAAAAAAAAAATATATATATATATTTTTTTTACATGTATGTATATTTAGACTTCAAGCTATAAAAATGATTTGTTAAACATTTAAACATATTTAGCAAAAACCTATTTCACTTTTCACCACTTTGAGGTTTTATTTTTGTGTGTTATTTTAGGTCCATTGTGTTGATACAGTTTGTCAAAATGACAAAATAACTGTAAATTCAGACACGTGAGGTGTTTTATTCAAAGTGTCGTCCTCACTGCATCGTTTCTATCCTGAAACTCAGCTCCTCTGGTATGACTCTATTTGCCCCACCTTGTTTTTCTTCGGTGGCGGTGTCGACTGCGAGCTGCTGACCACTTCCTGCGTTGGCGTGTTTGCTCGAGTGGTCTCTGGAGAGTTGCAGCTCACAACGCCCATATCCAGAGGGATGTCCGCATCACTGAGGAGAATGAAAGAGCCAAGATCAACAAACATACAGAGAATAAATGAACCCAGAGAAATAAAACCATGAACTCAAGTTCAAAGAGCTGAAACTACAATTTAAATGAGAGCAAGATTTTCGATAACTGGACATTTTCAAAGAAGTCACACATTTCAATGCAGCCTCGTCTATTAGACATCGTCAGTGAAAGTCTCAGATTATGAAGTGATGAACACAACAGAAATGATGGTAACTCTTGATACAAGCAAGAGAAATGATTCTAGAGCTCGTCTTAGGATACCATTATTAATTTCCAGTTCAACTGTTACCTCACTGGTAATTAAACATGAGTGTTTTCACACTGCCACACTTATTCTGAGGTCAAATCACCACCAAGAAGTTTAATTAAGCCTGAATTTCTCATCCTGACACAAATTTGGTTATTTAATTAAAAACTAGTCAAACCTTTCACATTCTGTTTATTAAAACTATTTAAGTTCATCGTGTTCAAAAGGTGAAAGGCCTCAGCGTCCCAGTAGACGCACTGATGGTTTCAAATTGAAAATGCTCCGTTGCGTCGATCTTGAACTATCGTGTTCACGCCGCCCAGCAGAGTGGAAACAAAGCCTCGTCAGTTTTTAATGGTGGAGGCGTAAAACTGTTCCTCCTGAGAGCAGCAGGCCTCCATGCTGCTCTCCTGCAGTTTTAAATATTACTATAAACACATTATAACACCTGCTTCTGCCTTCTGAACTTTGATAGTTAAGAACAGTTATAAAAGTTACAAAGCTAAAGAGCATCAAATACATTCACATTGACTTTGAGAAATAAGTCATTATTTGTTTGTTTGTATTATTATCTCAAACACATTTTCATCGTGGGCTCCTGACCTCTCAGCGACAGCCTCACCTGTCGTGGATGATTAGGTTCTTTCTACTCTGCGAGTTCCTTTCCTCCCACTTCCTCTTCTGGCTCCTCGTGGTTCTGGGGCTGGGCGGTGGAGACGTGCCATTGCTTGTCTGCGTGCCGCACCTTTCCAAGCCGTCTTCTGGCGATGACGGAGATGCTTTCCCATTGGCTGCTGCCGTGAGGCCCGTTTCGCCTTGGTTGTAGTTTGAGAGGACGACTGACTCATGACTGGAAGAATCTGCAGGTTCCTGTAAGCTCTTGTGGTCACCATTCAATAACGGCCTCTGGTCATCAGTCTGCATGGGCTCTGATTGGCTGGGGCTTTCTGCGGGGGAGGGGATATCAGACAGCGGCGAGATCTGGGACTTTGTCTCATCAGAAGCAGGACTCGTAACCTGCTCGTCCTCATCTTTCAAGCTTCCTTCTTCGCCTGCAGAAACGTGTAGCAAGCAAACAGCTCAGTTTATGTTGAGTTAAAGCAGTTTTTATACAGTTGGAGAAGGTACTAATGGTGAAATAGAAAGAAGAAAGGTAGAATAGTATAGAAGGGAAACTGATATAAGAAAAGATATTACCACTAACATAACACTTTCCTTTTAATGCGGCTTATTAGGTTAGTATCACATATAAATGACTAAATATTTAATAATCTTGAAACACGTTTACCTGGATAACCTTTGAGTTACCGTAGTTTGACACATTCTTAGATTTAAGTAAACAGTTTGAATCACCAGCTTCTGGATTTAAAACACTTTGATTTTGTTAATCACCAAGTAACCATGTGGTACCATTTATGACCCACTGTGATGTTTTATTTCTAAAAAGATTTACTGCATCACAAACCTTCAGACCAACCTGAACTGTTGCATTTAAGTAATATTTAATGGCATTAGAACATTTTAGTATATCTGTTATAGATGAATGAAGCAGCACAGATATGATAAACACCATGAGAGCCATTAAAAATTGACTCCTGTTAGTACCTTAAATGACTCTGTTGGTGAAATAACTCTTAAAGGTTTAATATTGAAGTATATATAATACTGTGCAAATGTTTTAGGCAGCCGTAAACAAAGAATGCTTTCAAAAATGGAAGTGATAATTATCTATTTTTAACAATCAATGAAATGCGGTGAATGAACAAAAGAGAAATTTAAATCAGTTTTTGTTTTTGAAGGAACTCGGCTGGTAGGTTGTTCCAAACATCTTGGAGAACTAACCACAGATCTTCTGTGGATGTCGGCTTCCTCACATCTCTCTGTATCTTCATGAAATCCCAGACACACCTGATGATGTTGATCAGGGCTCTGTGGGGGCCGGACCATCACTTCCAGCACTTCTTGTTCTTCTTTACACTGAAGATGGTTCTTAATGACTTTGGCTGCATGTTTGGGGTCGTTGTCCTGCTGCAGAATACATTTGGGGCCAATAAATAATCATATTTTTTCTGAAAGCATTCTTTGTTTACAGCATATTTTCACACCTGCCTAAAATGTTTGCACAGTACTGTAAGAATTGTTTAACTGATATTAACAAACCTGTTCAGATCAGATGAATCCTAACGATCTTTTTTCCTTTTCAGGGTTCAGTTCTCCGTCCATCGAGGACTCTATGGCGATGGTCGGCGTGGCGCTGGTGCTTTATGGGCTCATCAAGTTTGTCTCGTGGACATTTACCAGCTCAGGTAGCAAATATTGACGGAAAAATATCGTCCAACAGTTTTAATGTGTATTGAAGTTTTTTTAATCATTTCAAGCTGGAGAAAATCTTGTCACCTTTTGGATCAAATAAAAAAGAATGAGTAATATGTTTCAAAAAGTAAGATGTTTATTAAACTCTGTGCCTGACTTTTTGTTTTTTAATTTGTATTTCTCTGTAAACAGGCTCAGCTGAGGCTGATAAACAAGATAAGGTAATGTCACTGTAATATTTACTGCAGACAAACATATAAATGTGTTTACAGAAATCTCTTATTAACTTATTTACCTACTGTATGTTTCATCACCCTGGACGTGGTGCTTCTTGGTGTTTCCTCTGAATTTAATTTTACAATTTTTTCCCATCACAGAAAGAGAAGTGAAGGTGAAAGAAGGCGACTGACCATCAGTGGCATTGATCCACTCGATATGTTTGATGGGATTTCAGGAGGGGCTTTCCACATGTTCATGGGACAGATTATTTCTTTTTCTTTTGTTTTTTTACTGCTCTGGTTTGAAGGTAAACTTGTGTGTTTTACGCTTGTTTTTATCAAATTTGTTTATTATAAAATGTTTGGATTCAACTTTTTGTTCTTTTGAAAGGAACAGAGATATCTAGAAGAAGCTCAGTTCAAACACATTTCTTGTAACGTTTCTTTAATCTTTCTTTATAGAGCTGTGTGGTTTTGCTTTCCTCTGTTTATGGTTTATATGTCGTCACAAACACTGGAAAGAAAAACTATGAGAGGAAGTTAGGAGTGATGTGTTGAAACATCAGCTTCTGTTTTTTAAAGGTTAATCCTTCCATTCGATGTTCCCGTCTGTCTAAAAACCTCATTAACTCACGCTTTTTGGAACCAGAGATCGGACTGTATTTGTTGGTTTATAAAGAAAAGGAAATGCTGTTTTAATTAAGTAAAAATGATTAGACTAATAATAGACTCATTATTTTAAAAATAATATTTATAATAATAATAATAGACTGTTCAAACTGTCAGTCTAAATTTTGTCCTTTTTGTAAATATGGAGATTGTATTTCTGTTTTCATATTGTTTTTAGGTGTGTTTGTATTCTTCTTCATCACATGCTTGCCCGGGCTAATAAACATTAAATCTGTGACTGAAATGGAGATTTTACAAACAGAGCACAAAATTCTGCTATAAGGAAGATTTTAAGTTAGCATCTGATTTAAACGGACTCTGAATTTTAATTAAATAAAAAAAATCTCTTGAAACACACCAAATAAGTCCTGTTCCTGTTAAACACTCTGCTCTTATACACGCTTTAAACCACACATTCACTCACACTTACTGGTCACTTCATTAGGTACACCTTAATAATACTGGGTTAATACTTTTTTGTCCTCAGAGCTGCTTTAATTCTACATGGAATAGATTCAATAAGGTGCTGCAAATATTCTTTTGAGATTCTGGTCCATATTTACATTTAGCATCACACTGTCCATGGCATGTCTCTCTCGTTCTGCTACATCCCAGAATTGCTCTATTAGATTGCAACTTGGTGACTGTGGAGGCCATTCATGTACAGTAAACTTATCGTCATGTACAAGAAACCAGCTTGCAATGTGTTGAGCTTTATGACATAGTGCATAAGTCTGCTGGAACCAGCCATTTAAAAATGGGTACACTGTTAACAAAGGGTGGACATGGTTAGCAACAATACTCAGGGAGCCTATGGTGTCTAAACAATACTTTGTGACAAGGAGCCTGAGGTTCATCAGGAAAATTATACCCCATCACCAGCCCGAACTGTAGACAGACAGGATGATCCATACTTTGATGTTGTTTACTCTAAATTCTGATCCTACCATCTAATGTTACAGCACAAATCAAGACTTGTCAGAGCAGAAAACATTTTTCCAATCTTCTGCTGTGTAGTTTGGTAAAGCAGTGTGGTAAAATCCAAGCAGATCAGCATTTTCTAAAATATTCAGAGTCAGACTGGCTATAACCCCCTACTACGTTGAAAGTAGCTTAAACCATCTTTCTTCACCATTCTGAATCTCACATTGAACTTAAACACAAAATAACGGTAAATCCGATAAAAGTTCAAAATATAAAAGTACTAAATGTAAAACAATTAAAGAAGCTTTATAAAGTCAATTAAGTACATTCAAAGAAATAATAATAATAGTAATACAAACTGACATCAACGGTACACGTCAGCAGCTGTCCAATGGGAAATGGCATTACTCATCGTCACGAATCTGTCGTCCAATCAGAGGCGTTGATGTTGAGCAGAGTTTAGCGGGTACATTTTCGATCTCGATTCGATAGCACAGCTAAGTGAAGGGGCATTGTTTTGATGAAGAAGATCCAGTCTGATAAAAACGAACGAGATTAGAGGTTATCTCGGGTTTGTTTACCCGGTTCACGAGGCGATGAGAGCGTAACTCGACTTTTTTTCTGGCAGGTTATTTTTTTACTTAGAAAAGTCCGAATGCTAACTAGCCTCCAGAGCTAACGTCAGCTAAGTAACTGGAGTGTTGTGATGTCCTGCGGCGGTGCAACGTTTTCTTGTTTCGTTGTCAACTCCAGCGGCTCGTAAAGAACAGGTCGGTGTGTATCCTACTGTCGCATTATTACGGTGTGTGTGGGTGTGCTTTATTTAACCTTTTGTCTTAAGTTTTCCACCTGTAATGTGCTGTCTGTGTCATCGTGATTAGTTTCACTTTCATGGTTTGGAAACTGCTATCCCCTGTTTGTTTTCCTATTTTCCGAGTAAACACAGCGGAACGATAACACTGATCAGCCGGCTTCTGTATCCCTAAATGAAGCATCAAATTCACAAACTCTCGATGCTTCTGTGTTAATGCTGTAATATGGACGCAGGAGTCTACCTTCCAGTTATTGAAGTTTAACTGATGATAGAAAATGGTGGCATGTAAATCACAGGTTCACACATCCTCAGGTGAATTGTCTAGGCAACGGGACATTGTTGAAAGCAGTCAACTGACATGACTTTGGAGACTTCTAAAACTTCTGAGGGCCACGGAAGGTATTTTAGTAGTCATTCCAGAAATCCATTACCCAGCTTGGGAATTTGAGTGATCATGCCCCTGTTTTAGGAAGCTATTTTCTCAGATTAAACTGTTTTTTTTTTTAAATCTGGAGATGAGGGATCCTCAGTCAGAGCTGATTTAAACAGACTCCATCAACCTAACCATGGGCCTCCTCTATGAAGCAGGATTTGGGGCATAGTCAGGGGACTTCAGGTCAACCCCAGTTTTTAAACCTTCCAAAGGTGCTTCATCTATTATCAGGTAACTATGCTGATCCACAGTAGGTTGTGTTAAAGAAGAGTAGCATACATGTATAAAACCAGTACCCACTGACCAATCAAACCGACCATCATTCTGATGCCCTGGTGAGCATCAGTAAAAAATATGGATTTTTATACTCACCTTTATCCTGCTTTTTCCATTTTCACTGCAAGCAATGTTTAAATTATTTCATTCCTTTATACGTGGGTGCAGCTGAAACTGTCTCACACACATCTGCACACTATAGTGTTTATTTTACAAACTAAAAAATTGTAATTATACTTCAGATCCTCCTGTGTCTTTATGGTGGAGCTGTGAAAGTGACAGCTTTGTCAATGCGCACAAATGCATGTGTTCAGCTTTCATTCCTGACTTTAAATTGACTTTTTTGATATTGGAGGACTTATCCACACATTAATGTAGCACTTTTGAAACATTTCCTCGTACAGACACACAGTAATTTCATCTGTGGCAGCTGTGGTGCTTTCAGCCTTACTGTGTGTTACTCTTCATTTTGTGTTCTGACATCATAGTTTGTAAAGGTAGCCACTCTGCAGTCATTAGACTTGTCTATGTTTCAGATCTTTCATGTGAATATGACCTGAAACTGGTTCTCTTTGAAACCAGATAAAAATATCCTGGGTTTGTTGAACTCTGTTCACAGAGCAGGTCCCTGCTTTGGTATTTAAATAATCAGAAGTGCCCACATGGCCAGAATTTGTCACTTTTTTTTGTGCCAATGTAAATATCATACAGATCTTGAAAACACTGAAGTTCTGATGCTTGTGTGTCATCCTGTTCTGGTCTCATTCTGCCTGTTTGTATTTTAGAAAGCCGGCGTTTTGAATGGCGGTGGCTCCTGCCTCGATGGCAGATAAAATCATTGTGCTTGATGAGGAAGGCGAAGAAGAAGAGAGTCCTCAGCCCTCCTCCTCTGCCTCCAAATCAAGGCCTGACCTTCAAACCAAAAATGTCTCGCCGCTCAAAGCTCAGCTGCCAGTGCCCACACACATTACCCAGTCACCCTTCGCTACAGCGAAGAAGACCACGAAGTGTCTGCAGGCAGAGAATCAGAAGTTGTTCAATGAGGTGAGTTTATATGATGTTCCAAAGTTCATGACCAGAACTTAAAATAATGACATTTATGCAGAAGTATTTCATGTGTATCAGACTTCAGATTGCTCTAAGTGCTCAGTTTTTCTGTCTGGGTGACATTGACTTAAAATCTTATCTGTGTGTTTTTAGGCTAATTGTTGAAACGTGATATATTTAAATGTTGACTTTTAAATCAAATTAACAAGTGAGATGATCCATGTTTCCCAAATAATACTGTGGGAAACTCAATGGTGTCATCAGTTAGTTCCTCATTGAGCAGATCAACTCCACTCTTCTAGACTGCAGCTGGTGGTCTTTACCACACTGGGGGCCTGACCAGCCTGCCTGCAGGGGAAACACAGGAAAGTCCACAGTTCGCTGGTCAGCAGTGACTCAGCTTTCAGAATAAGAGGGGATTGTATGGTGGTTAACCTGTTATATGTTGTCTCATAGTGATTCAGTAAATGCAAATTCCTGAGTACAGTCTAGTTTTGCAGAACATCGTTCCATGGAGTTTATGAGGCGAAGTACATCCTACAGCTCTCCTCCACTGGGTGCAAAACAATTTTATTAAAACAGTCATTTAAAAAAAACACGTTTAGTATTTGAAAGTTGGTAAGACCATTTTTGTATATTTCATTTTGATATATAAAAAACAACAACTATAATAACAATAAAATAATGAAGAAGAAAAAACTATAATAAAAATAACATTCGATTATTATTATTATTTTTAATTTGGCTTGTATGACAGTCTCATTAATAGTGACGGTTTTTTGTGTTTGTTAAAGAAATGAACTGATGGGTGGGTGAGTTTGATTTAGTTGGAGAGTGTACTGTGAGAGGATATAAACACTGGCATTAAATATGTATGTAATATTAAACTTTAGATCTAAACTTCCTCATTTAAATTACCTACTTATTTGAAAATATACAGATACACCCTATAAAGTCAATCCTGGGCCACTTTATACTGCAGATGTGTGTTTGAGTCAAACCAGTCTTGCAACATCTGTCTTTTTCACTCCCTTGTTTTTCTCTTTGGTTCCTTATCCGTCATACTGTCTACTTTATCTCATCCTTTTTTTTCTGTTTTCTTCCCTCCAGTTTGTGGAGCACTGCAGGCCCCTCACAGAGGACTGCCCAGAGGTCTTGACCTTCCTCCAGACAAAGCACTCCAAGGCCTGCCCGGACTTCCTGTCATCAGTGGAGTTGAGGAACACTTTGGGACGATGTTTGACTCGCGCTCAGGCCAACCGCTCTAAAACATTTGTCTACATCAATGAACTGTGTACTGTGCTCAAGCAGCATGCCATCAAGAAGAGGCAAACCCTCTTCAAGGTTGACCCTGGGCCTTCTACCTCAACGTCGAGTGATATTCAGTCTACCTCCGTCACACTCAAAAGTAAAAGCAAGAGTAAAGGTAACCTGGACGAGGAGGAAGAAGGTGTGCAGCCGGCAGCAGATGAAGAGCAGCCTTCCACCTCAGGACAGCAAGAGAACAGAGAGGCAGACCGAGAAGAGGAGAGAAAAGCCAAAAGAGCCTCCAGGAAGCAGGTTAGAGTGGATTAGGTGCTGCTGTTGAATGAATCTTGGGATTATAATCAAAGTTTTATTTGTATACTGTATATTATATATATACAGTTTTATTTGCACAGCACAATTTGTCTCAGTGTTTTTAATATGACTTCAATACAGTCATTTTAAAAGGGAAAAAGAGTAAAGCAGATCAAAGCACACTGGTTAAGCAGCCATTAAATATAAACTATTAAAAATATAAAATATCCCTCCTTTTATTTTTCAGCAACAGTAAGGGTTTGACACTGTTGTAGGAAATGATCATTCATGTCTGTCCTGTGT